AGTGCTTTTAATGTTTCTTTTCTTTCTCTCAATGCTTTGTTTGAGCCATATTACTGGCATGTATCTCCGCTGATAATTCAACTGAATGTATTAAGTTATGGAGAAGTTGAGAAGTCACGTTCAAGCCTGTGCAGTCATAGTCTTACAAGAGGAAGTTTCTACATGGCATTTCTTTGAGCTCAGATGTAAGAAGATTTCTGTCACTTTGTCAGTGTTTAAAATTATTAGAAAATTTTAAAGCAAAGGAAGAAAAAATAGTTTCCTGGGTAAAGCTTTTATGTTTATATAAATTGTGCATTCTAAGTACAATCTAGAGATTGTCAATAACATACTGTGATTTTATTTCCTTAAATGCCTATTAGTTTTCTTATAGAGTAGGTAATTGAAGAGTCTTTACATCCAGTTTCTCATTTAAAGTATTTCTTACATTTTGCTTGACTTAAAGTCATAAATTAAAATAGTTTGACTAAAGATCAGCCTACTATCATATATTTGCTTGAAATCAAGAAAATACATACATGTATTTTTCAACTGAAGTAAGTAGATAAATAAAATTTGTGAGGAAAGGTTCTCATACATATAACTCAAGAAAGTATATACGCTTAAAAGTTTATTTATGGAGTATGCAAAAAAAAGCTATAAGAAAGAACCTGATAGGTATAATTTTATTTTAGTGTTATAATTCAAATTCAGTAATTCAATAGCAGGTATAAAAAATTAAATGAGAAAAAAAATGAAGTGCCACCAGAATGACTAATCAGTTATTAAAAATGTCTGCAGTGGTAATTTACTTGTATAGAAAATGTTTGCACTGTCATAAAAGACTCCTTAATTTATATTAGTGGACTAATTCAATGACAGTCACAAAAATACACTCTCACCCTTGAATCCGTTCAGGAGACAACCATTCCTAACCCACTGTACTGCGTAAATATTTTTGGAGCACCAGGAAGTATGCCCCCTCTTTCTAGTTAGGCTAGGAACTCCATAAATACCCATTACAGGTTTTGACTATTACTTTGTTTTTTTTTTTGTAATATTTTACCTATTTTGTTTCTTGCCGTGTGTGTGTGTGTGTGTGTATTTGAGTTTGTGTGCGTGCATGCCTTCGCGATTGATTATGTGTGGTGTGTGTGTGTATGTGTATTGTACCCTTGACTTTGGGGAGTACGGTTCCTATTTCCACCTTTTTGGAGGCAATCTTCAGGCTTAGTTTACTTTCCAACTTCTGGCTTCTCTTGCTTGCAAAGTTTTAATGATTCTCCTGTCTTGCCATGGGTCATTGTGGGGATTACAATCTGGAATTTCTGCTTTCTCATCTAGAGTCAGGGAAAAGTCATGTAGCTCAGCCAAAGACAGACGCCAGAACTTTACCCAGTAAACCACACCTTGCGGTGATACACAGATTAATGTAGATGGGTCAATTTAATGTAAGAGCTAGCCAAAAATAAGTTAGAGCTAATAGGCCAAGAAGTGATTTAATAAATACAGTTGGAAACGTTTTTCTTAAAAGAAGCCAGCATGTGGTGAAATGGGTATTCCTCCAGCCCACTCTTCTTAGATACTTTTGTTTCATACGGAGGTAAAGATCAACTATATAATTTGTAAAAACCCAAAGTGAAAATGGCAATGTGGGATGGAACTGAAAAAGGATTTTCAAAAATATTAGCATCAAAACATTAAACAAATCCATTGGTCTTTTAAGCATACCAAGGGATGGTGTAGGTCTCATGCTCATGAAATTATGAGTAATGGAAAGACTCTGAGACACTAAGTAGCAAGCTGTAGTTGTTGTAAAGCTATGGCCAGATCTATAACTTAACCCTCTTACATTTGCTTTCTTCCTTTTATTCTTTATGCCTATTTCTCTGGAATTATCCACTTTCACCTCCAAACTCAAAAAAACACTAATAAGTAAACTGTCAAAAGTTCTGTTTTACAGGGACATCGACTATATAAATGACCTTTTTCTGATTTCCCTTTAGTTTGACTTCCTAAGTCAAATTCTAAATAATTTTCCTCAATTTAAAGAAAAATATGTTATGTAATGCTGCAAATGCTTACATTTTCATGTAAGATATGTTATGTCTCAAACATTTTATCCTATTTTTTGGTTACAATACTAACAATTCATTACAAATGTAGTACAGACAAACTAATACAGTTTTCCATTATTTTTCTTTTCTCTTTTTCTGGCTTTACCATTGTCTAAGTATGTCCTGCAGCCCTCCGCCTTATGTTTATTTATAGGCAGATTTCAATTCTGCCTTTTTTATGGTTGTATAATAGTTGATATATTAACTGCCAATCATTATCATGTATAACCTCTGCTACAATCTTAGCTATAGAAATTGGGATAAATATAAATATAAAACAGTATTTCTTAAAATATGCATATTCAGTAATTGTTTATTGAGTGTTATGTATAAAGTACAGGGGTAAATACAAAAGAAAAGCAAAGACTTAAGAATTTGTCTTACCTTTCCATCTTACATGGGGGTACAATGAGGTAAGGCTTTAGACCATTCATTATAAGAGTAATAATGATCAACACCTATATATACAAGATAGGTTAACAAAAGGAAAGCATAGCTAATGTAATTAGCACTTTGTAAGACATGGGAACCTTTATGAACAAAGGCCCATATAGAAGTGTCATTTGTAAAATTTAATGCTAATAAAATGGAGGGGGCAACACATCAAGACTTTCCAAGCATCTGATAAACTTCTTGTATACCAATCCTTCCTCCCACATATGAAGCATCACTCCTCCCAAATAAAGCTCTTCAAGATAAAGAGAGAAACCTTTCTAGATAATGACTTGGTTGGGTAAAGAAGATTTCTACTTTCTATGAGATAGTTACATTGGAAAGAGAAAAAACAGATTCAGTAACTGTCATTCTGGAGATGTCAGGATAAGAGATCAAAAAGTTGTGTCTGAGGCCTTTCAGTCTCCTAAGGTCCCAGTACTCAGCATGCCAATAATATTGGTTCTAAACCCCAGTCATGGCTCCAGATTTAAGAAAATTATAAGACAAATTAAGGAGCGACGTAGAAGATGACAATGAATTGCAGAGAATTTAGAGAACAGAACTGGACAAATTTATGTAAAATTGAGGATCTGACATGTAAATTGGTAAGGACACTTTTTAAAATATTGGTTTATTCAAAGTTCAATAAGAAAATATATGTTAACAAAACATTGCAAATTTATTGAGATTTTGTATTACATGGAAGCTTTCCTAAGAGAATTAATAACCTAAACCTCAACATTGGCTTTTAGCTGATTTGGTGAAAAATGGAGTATTGTGAAGATATATGAGTGGAAGAACAAAGATAATGTCTGTGCACAATATAATACATTGGGAGTGGAGGGCTATTTTTCCTCCCTCTGTTCCTCTTCATAGATCATAATGCTCCTTAACTCTGCTTCCAAAAAGGGTACCTGTCACTACCATATATTAGACTACTGTGTCTTAACACACACACCATGTTCTTGTAACCCAAGTGACTCAATACCCAGTCAATTTCACATATTTTCTTTTTTCCAGGAATCTCTTAGAATGGGAAAAGAGAAATCTTTGAATAGTTGGGGAGACTAGAGAGTAAGAACATATGATAAGAATTTAGTTTTAAAATTAGAATGGTTTGCTTTTCAATAAACCCATCCTTTGTTTTGGCAAGGCAGAACAGTTCTTCAACTTCTCTAATAAGGAATACTTTCCAACTTCCCAGAGCTATACAAAAAGAACTATATTGGACAGAACTATTTATACTGACAAGTTAATATAAAAAATAATCTTCAGTGTTAGTATTTGATTTTCAGTCTCTTGAACTTCCATGTATATTAAGTTGATTTCTCCTTGTTGAATTATAAAGGTAAACTTGTCAGGGTGATGAATTTGGATCACAATAATCTGAATTTTGCCAGAGGGTAGATTTAGTCAGTCTCTTAAATTTTTCATTATGATTCTAATGTATCTCTAAAACAAACAAAATTTACTAGAATAAAAACTGTTTTTCTTTTTGTGTATTTCATATTCTTTAGGGGAAACAGTGTTTCAGAGGTATAGATTTAAAAACCAGTGTCATAGGCTATGTATCAAGTTGTAACTATTATTCCCTTGTCTCCTCAACTAGAATTTCCTCAGATTCTGTAGGTACTGGGAGATGCAAGTATCTCTGTACACAATCAGCTCAAAGTCATATGGTAATATAGTAGAAAATTGTTATAAGATTTTTTTCTTCTTTTTTTAGTTTACTCCAGAAATGACTGCACCATGACAGATCCAGAGAATGTACCTGTATTTAGGAACAGTTTGGGATACAATACATAAAATTATTAGTTGTCAATGAGAGAAAAGGAAAAGAGCAAAGAATATTAGGGGTAAAGTGACTAATGATACTATTTGAGGGCATGCTGAACCTTTGTGGATGTGTATGTTTGTGCATATGGTTTGCTCTAAACTTCCCTTCCATATCAACAGTTCCTTTACATAGCTCTCTTAAGTATCAAATCTTAAAGATGGGAATTTTTACCACAGGTTTTGGTTTATAAAACTAAGGGTTTTCCAAATAAGCAAAGATTTCATTCTTTTATATAATTTAACCTTAAATCATTTATATAACCAAGGACATGCATTAATACGATAACTTCTCTTTGAACCTTAATTTCTCTTTAATCTTCAATTTAAATTTTAAAGAATGAGATATTAGGTGTTCCATCAATAAATTTAAATAGGAATGGGTTCATCTGAACTAATGGCTGAGTAAATTTGTGACATTCCCATATTAAATATGGTGATTTGGTATATTATATTACACATTTTCATTTACTTCATGGAGAGTAGAATTTTTATGAGCCGTAATTCAGAAAAATGTGAAGTGACTTTATGGAACAATTCTCCATATTTAAAAAAAGCCTTTAGCAGATAGTGTTTTTAGTTGTTTAATAGAATATCTAGTATTAGATGCTAAACACTTTGCACATTGTTCTTTAGTTTCAGCTCAAATTCTCAAGAGCAACCTTGCAGCGATGGAACAAAACATTCTTCATCTGGAGCGTGACATCAAGAATTTCCCCAAAGCAGAAAGTCACCATGATAAGTTTGTGGAAAAGATGATGATATCCTTTATTTAAGCATTTGTTTATATGTTTTTCTGGTAGCTGTCTATTAATCGATTTTGTGTGTGGTTAGTTGTACTAGTCTACAACAGCAGATGAATTTGTGTGTAAGCTGAACTGATTTTTATATTAGCAACATAAATTTTATTTCACAATGTTTTGAACCTGGTAGAGTAAGCAAGGGAACAATTAGATCAGAAAAAAATGCCATTTCTCAAAGACAAATTTTATTTGAAAGCCCACAAGATATGCAAGGTAAGTCGTAGGATGTCTGATTATACCCGAAAGAACAAAGCAAATAATCCTCTTTTGTAGTCAAATGCTTAAGGACAGAATCATCATGGGAAAATAATTTTGGGGGGAGGGTTTATATTTTTTCTCTTTTTGGGGTGTGTTCACTTGCATTTTCTGAGGATATACATGCATTTTGAGAAGCGATGAGCGGAGGGCTAATATCAGTAGACTGCAAACTAAATGAATAGACGTATGAATGGAAAGAGAAACAAATTGACCTGTAACTATAAGAAAAAAAGAAAGAAGAAAGAAAGAAAGAAAGAAAGAAAAAGTAAATAATACTTGCTACACAGACACTTAGGAAATTCATATTTTACATACAATATACTGGTAAATTATGTGTATGTATATATGAATTTTAAAGGAGAATTGAGAAACTACATTTAGTTTGAATTGTTTAATGTTCAAGCTGTTGTTTGAAGATAAACTACATTCAGAGCTGTTTTTTTTTTTATTATTCTGGATTTTCAGAAGTAAAAGCTATATCCTCCTCCTCTGGGTTTAAATCAGTATCTTGAACTGCAGATTGATTCACTAGTTTATATCTCTAGAGGGAATAAATCCTGCAATTTCTTTATCAGATAATAAGTAAATTCCTCAACAACTGTATGGCAGTCACCTTCTTTCAAGGTTAAATCTATCGCCTTTTTCTCCTCTCCTGTGTTTCTTTCCTAACCAACTTAGGCGTTATGGTGCTAAGCCTAAAAATTACTTAAGACTAGTACTTGGCATTTATATAAAAATTTATTTTCCACTCTTATTTTTTGCCTCATAAAGTAGTGATGTGTGGTCCTTTAGTGATGCTATATTTGTTAATAGGGATATTGGATGGGCAAATTAGTGAACCGTTACAAGCAGGAAGTCCCTGTCTAGCCTTGGGTTATATAAATGGCCACATTGGAATACTTAATATGAACCTTTTGCTTCATTGGTGATTAGAGTTATTTTTATTTCAAATATGTCACATTGTCCATTGGCCAGAAGCATACCTTTTTTACTTTCTAATTTTGACTCTTGTCTCATATTTTTTAAAGTCAGTTTGAGATCTCCTTGTTCTATGGAGTATTTTCTTTTAAAATTGGCTTATGTCCCTAAAACAGCATGCAACATGTTGCTCATTTTGGAAAAGAAAGAAGGAGGGAGGGAGGGAGGGAGGGAGGGAGGGAGGAAGAAACAAATTTCAAAACCTCATGAGCTTTGCCTGGACTCTATTTTATTTCTCTGAAATCCACAACTTTCTATATCTGTATGTTACAGATGAACAACTATTCTCTTTTAAGTGCTACTCAAGTGTGACTTTTCGTCCACAAGGAGATTGGAAATGTAGTAAGATGTATAGGACTCTCACCTTGCAGTTCATATCAAGAAAAATATGGTAATTTATTACAGAAAAGGAGGATATTAGTGTAATAAAAATTTTGAATTAATAAATTATACTAGTGAAATTATTGCTCAGATTAGTCTTGTTCAGAACTCTGCAGCAGTGCTTAGGGAGAAGTTCACTCTTCTAAAAAGACACAAGCAAAATGCAAAAAGGTCACATGTATGCTGTATTTTGAGTATTTCTGGTACTTTTCTGTCCAGTGATCAAAGAGATGAAAAACATGGCTGACACAGGACATTAGAACATAACTCAGATCCTTTGGAAGAATATCCAATTCTCATAATCACTGAGCCATCTCTCTGGCCTCTGTATTCTGTTTTACAATGAATACCATGTTCCCATGAGTGATATAGGACTCTGCATGGTTCTGTCATCTGCCAAATTTTTGTTTCAGATCACTGACCCTTTAAGTAACTACAGCGCAAATATGGCAGTACTTTACCTAACTAAATATAATCTTTCTATAAGAACTTGGAGTTAAAAAAATGGACAGGGACAGCACTCCCGTGTCTATGGCCTCTGTAAATAGTAACAGCACTATAAGGATGGCTGCTGAACATGTGAGTTGAATCTTCAGTAGATCACCACCAAGTCAGGCTATGTCCAACCACCTCGTGCTCACTGTTACTCTTTCACAACATTAATTAAATGCTTATTATATCTAGACATTGTCAGTTCATTGACTACTGCAATGAACACAATTGGTAGCTCAACCTTAATATGCTGGCAGCCTGGCATTTATAATCTTTCTATATACTGTTCTTTTACCAGAGATTATATGTACCTATCAAATATCTACAACCTAGCATACTCTAGACATACTCAGTAATTGTTTGTAAAGTCATTGGAAATTAGGGAATCCAAACCCCTTCTTTGACTTTCCCCATCTAGAATAATATTGTTATGAAACAGTAAGATTTCCTTACTATTATTTCTAAAGAATTCTCCATATAAATATTATCAAGAATTTAAGTAGCATTAAATTATTGTTTTAGATCTCGCATTTAAAAAAAACGTATGGTCAATTTTAGATGTTATGATCCATATATTCTAAAGTAATTGTTTTGTTTAAAGCTAGAAAAATAGATAGACCTCAAGATACCAGTGTGGTGATCCAAGCTTGAAATCCCAGTGGTTTTAGAACTGTAGGGGGAGTATTACCATTAGTTCCAGTCCAACCTGAGCTATATCATAAGACATTGTCTCAAAAATTTTAAAGGAAATGTTCTCTTGTAAATGTAGTTGCCCTACTTCTAGCTTCTGGAAGCCAACAGCTTTCTAAACAAGAATGTCACTTTTGTTTCTCCTTTCCTATCTAAATTGTTTATTTCTGACTCAGAATAAAACAGTGTAAGGAAGAAAAAAATCTCTTTTCTCTCCCATTGTACAATGCATGACTTAATATGCCTATAAAAAGACAGACTAAAAGAGGATCTATAAAGTTAATAAATGTATTACCTGCTACAGGAGGAAACACTCTGGAAAAAAAACAGGGGAGAACTGGCTTTTTTATGGACAGTTACATAGAAGTCCAAATTGAAGTTGAAAGGATGTGATCCAACCGTAATTAATTGGAGGGATGAGAAATGATCTAGCAAGATGTTTATTTAGATACTTCTTGCCTTCTTTTCATAGCATTGCTTATCTCTAAGTAGAAGGCAGGACACCTGTCACATGACTAGGGAAGACAAGAAGAATGATTGTTGTAGCTTCTTTATGACCAGCTGCTGAGATGAAGAGTTAGGCAATTAGAGTTTTGTGACCTACTTCAGAAGGTTCTGTCCTCTGAGTTTACCTCATTCTCCTTCAGTTTATACCTCTCATTATTCCTCTTGCCATGGCCTGCATATTTGTGTCCCTTTCATAGTTTCTGTTGACACATGATCTGCAGTGTAACAGTATAGAGCAGTGGTGCCTTTTGAAACTGATTAGTTGTAAGAATAAGAACTCTTCTTTGGTGTGTGAAATTTGTTCCTCATAAAAACACTAGAGAAAAAAACCCAGCAGATCCCCCCCACACACACATACACACACAGGCCATTTTGTTCTTTTGGGACTCTGCCATAGGAGGACACGGCAGTAAGGCATAAACCATTACCACCAGAAATTAATTTGTTGGTGTCTTTGTCCTGGATTCTTTGCCTCAAGAACTATGAGAAATTTCTATCACTTATGAATTGCTGAATCTCAGATATTTTCTTGTGGAAGACTTAAATAATGTAAAGCTGCCATATTTGGGGTAGAATTTTCTACATCCCAAAAATGAGAAGAACAAAACAAATGAAATTAATTTTATGGGTTATAAACAAAGAGCCAATCACAGTGTCCAGATCTGTAATCCTAGCAGTTGGAAGGTGATAGAAAGAGTATCAGGATGTCAAGACCAGAATAAGCTGCATGAGTCTCCAAAAAAGGAAAATAAATAGATTCAGCGTGCACATTTATATATAACCATAAAATTGAACAGTCATCTCTTATGAAAATAGTTATTCTTCAATGCTAACACGTTCATCACACCCCTAGTCTTGGAAGTTTTGTTGTAGTTGTTTGTTTGTTTGTTTGGGGGATCTAGCTCTAAGCTACTTGCATGTTAACCAAGTTCTATATGACTGGGAGTTGAAAGAAATAGGTTGCTAGGATTTTATTTAGATTTTTCTTTTTAAAAAAATCATTGAATAGTGTGGTTTTGTTTTGATTTTGGATTGGTTAGTTGGTTTTGTGGGTTTTTTTTGTTCTGTTTTTTTTTGCTGTTTTATATTCAAAAATAATTTTTTGTCATCCAATGTTCTGATTAGGCTTTTCTCTTCCACCAGCTTTTCCCAGATCCTCCCTACTTCCCTACCCACCCAATTCCATAACCTTTCTTTCTCTCTCTTTAAAAAACAAACAATAAACACAAACATGCAAACACACAAAACACCCCACAAAAACACAAAATTGAAAACCAAATTATATAAGCAAAAGGCCAGTAAGACAAAAAAAAATGATGGAACAAAGCAACATGAAACAAAAGGTCTACAAAAATACCCTTGAGTTTGTTTTGTTTTGGCCATCTAATTCTGGACATGTGACCTATCTTGAAGTGTAGCACAAATTCTAATTGATTTTAATAATAAAATCCCCATGTCAGATATAGGGGTAGATGTCAAAAGATCAGAGAAGCAGAGCAGCCAGCCACTAGTTCTTACCTCTACCAACTCCTCAGACCAAATGGGGTATCCTGTCTCTGCAAATCCTCAGACTGAATATGATGAGCTTCTGTCTCCTCCCAACTTATTATATTCCTCTCTCTGCCCAGCCATATCCTTTCCTGTCTCTACCT